CCCATTCTACAGATAGATAAATGTTAATAGAATAGACATCCATTATCTGTTCTAGGTTTTGTCCCTCTCTTCTTGTCCCTTTTTCCTCTCTATTTATCAGCATTCTGATTGCATTTTAGCCAAAAGGATTTTTATCAAAAACATAATTAATGTGCACAAATAAGGAATAGTTGTATTAACTATACATGTAAACAGAGGTTTATGGGGCCCCCAGGAACTTGGGGCCCTAGGCAACTGCCTAGTATTGCCTAATAGTAAATCCCCCACTGCATCCCTTTAATCTAGGATTAAGGACAAATATAGTTTAGTATCATCAGCATAACTGGAAACATATACCCTAAAGTCTGCTACATATATGTTAATGTATATATGTGTATATATATATATATATACTGTGTATTTCAACAGACATGTACCAGACCTCATGACAATTCCTAAAATATTTACAGATTTAGTTTTAATTTTACCGTTAGGTTGATTGAAAGTGGGTCCAATTATTCATTACAGCCACAGAGTCTAAATAAATACAAAAATAAATCCTAAAATTGTTCTATTAGAAACATGAGTCAGTCAGACGATAGGCAGTAGGCACTATCGGAGCTGGAGGAGTTGTACTCCTCTTATGTGAATACTTTTCTCTGTAATTTTGTTTTCATTTAACCATCATATTTTTTTTTTTCCTTTAACAGACAATGAAAATGCAAAGTCTGAAGGAAAGACAGGCCACCAAGCAGAACACAGAGAAGATCCAGAAACAGAAAGCAAGCGTCAGCAGCAGCCTGGCCAATCACATTGCCCATCTGAGGAAAAAAAGAACCATGATGAAGGAGACAGTTCAAGTAACCCTGAAAGTCAGGACAGTGATGACAGTCTGGAGCCCACAGATGGAGAGCAAGAGCAGGAGGTGTCCCGAGGAGAGGGAGGAGGACTGGAAACCAGATTGGGGAGATTATCTGGCCTGGGAGCTTTGGAGGGACTGAATACCATCAGTGGACTTGGTCATTTGGGAGGACTCCATATCAAGGTGGAGCATTATGGAGAGGGAGATGAAGAACTCCAAGGCTCACAAATGTCCTCATCAGAAGAGGAAGAAGACGAGGAAGATGGGGATGCTGATGAGGTAGAGGATAGAGAAAGACAAAGGTGCGATGATGCTGGTTCTGGCTGCAAGCTTCAGAAGAGACGGAAAAGGAGGAAAGTGCAAAAATGGGATGGATCGCGTAGCCGGAGGCTTCGGATGTCCGCGACTCCACCCAGCCCTGTAGCAATAGGTGATTCTACACCACAGGCCCACCCCTCAGGGGGCACCTCCGTCGCTTCAACACAGCTGCTAGCTTCCTCCGATTCTCCAAACAGCACAGAGGCTACATCCTCTGTTCTAAAAATCAAGACAGAAATGGCAGAGCCAATAAATTTTGACAATGACAGCAGCATCTGGAACTACCCCCCCAACAGAGAGATTTCTAGAAACGAGTCTCCATACAGTATGACTTCCAAGCCTTCCGGTCCAGGGAGCCAGGAGACGTTTCCTTCCCCACAGGGTGGCGCTCTCCAGGTGGCCATTCCTGACTCGGTCCTCACTCCTCCTGGACCGGAAGGGGCAGCAGGAGGATTGAGAAAGCTTCCCTACAATGGAAATTCAACCTCGTCCTCTTCTTCGAGTGCTACAAGCTTAGCTCCTCCTTCAAACTCTTCCTCTGCTGACCCCCTTTCCCCTCCCCTCTCTGCATCTCCTCGAGACAAGCAACAAGGCACACCTACGACCTCCTCGATTTCTTCCTCATCTGCAACTTCAAGCTCTTCTTCTTCACTGCTCTATTCTGGGGATCTTGAAGCACTCCAGCGTTTGCAAGCCGGGAATGTGGTCCTTCCACTGGTTCACCGTGTCACAGGATCTCTGTCCTCTACCAGCACCACAGCTCCACGCGTCTACACGACCGGGACCATAAGGTATGCGCCAGCAGACGTCACTCTGGCCATGGCACAGGGAAATCTCCTTCCCAATGCTGCCATGAACTTTGTCGAGAACTCAGGGTTTGGTCTGGACCCTAAGACTCCAATGGAGATGCTCTACCATCATGTTCACAGGCTAAACATGTCTGCTGCAGCAGCTGGAGGCCCATTTGTTGGATCCCCGGCACCCACAGTGGGTAACGGCACCTTGGGAGGCCAGATGTCAGCGACAGCCAATGTTTTTACCACAGCAGAGGGACTTTTCTCGACGCTGCCATTTCCCGTTTACAGTAACGGGATCCATACTACGCAGACAACGCTGGAAAGAAAGGAGGATCAATGAAACACATCCATGACCGCATTACTGTGTTTAAGGATTAACAACTGTGTGAACTCAAAGATTCAGTAGTAACAATAGTAAGAGAGAATTTATCAACATGGGGCAGCACTGTGTTTGAAGAGGAAGCAAGGGACAGGAAACGACAAACGTACTTAAGCACTTTGAGCTACTGACCTGGTGGAAGACATTGACGGCCCTCATAACCTCTTTTCTATGGTTTTTTCTTCCTCACTGGTCTCTCTTTTCTTCCATTTATTGTAATCAGCGACATTTTTGTCTTAAACAGATTAACAAAGAAAAAAAAGCAGCAGTTCTTTACTGTGAAGAATTCCTTTTTGCCTACTGAGAATTCATGTTGCCTAAGGATTCCACTGGAGCCTGAAGGGATCATTTTAATATACCACTTGTTTGGGTTGCATCTTTATGAAGATGTTGATTGTGTACTTTCAGGAGATTGGTACAGGTATTTGTGACACATAGAAAATAAGATGTTTTGTGCCTCTCCTCCTTATGTATCTTGATGTTATCAAGGCTAAAACAAAGTTTTTAACCTGAGAGGAGAGGTCAGCCGTCTCAGATGTTTTGACAAAAGATTTTTGCGAATGTTTCTTGGTCGAGGGGACATTAATCAATGCTTTTTGCTCTTCTATTTCTTCCTTTCTATGAAATATTCTAGCTCAGATGTAACTTTGAAATCAAATATTATACAGAAAAACAAAAAAAAGCAATTTCAGCCGGGTAATGACCTGTGAACTATCGAATGTTACTACAAGTTTCCTCATTTATCTGAGGAGTTTACCTACAGGTCTCGCACCAAACATAACCTCCACTACATCTACTCCCATCTCAGTCCTTCAAGCTTTCTTGTCTTTCTTCTGCTTCTCTGACCTTTAACTGTCCTTATTTTTATCTGGCTGTTCTACAGATTCGTGGTGCTATCAAACGTCCATTTACCCAGATTCAGCTGGCTGATGTGGGTATTGTAAATTGACCCCCCCAGCTCGCTGATAGACTGATTATTGTTCTTTTTATGATGACAGAGTGTTTTAAAGTATTACTAAACTTCAGGAATATCTGAATACAGCAGCATCCTCACTATGTCCCCGTCTGATCCATCAGGAAACAAGGGACAGCTGCACACAGCAATGTGAAGTTGATCACTACATGTTTAGGCTGTATTTTATTCTCTTACTTGATAAATGAGTCATTTTTGATTCTCAATAGAACTGAGCCTAAATACCTAACATGTCTAAGTAAAAAAAAATGAATGTTAACAACCTTTATAGGATTTTGTTTTTCTATTTTTCGTTAAAGGAATAGTACACCCAAAACATGATTAGCCTTCATTTTCTACTCACCCCCATGCTGAACAACACTCTGGAGTACTTTTTTGATA